ATGTCCTTTTAGTATTGATGGAGGCTGTTAATTCAATATTGGAAAAAAATCCAGGCATTGTGTTAACAATGGATGTGGTCCCTTAGAGGGAAGCAATATAAGCCAGGGAGCTTGTAACATTTTTGTTATCAAGTGATGTGCTTTGTTATCTGATTTGTTTTATATCTTTTTCTCGTTTGTGACAGAATGACAGTAAAGATGCAAAAGAAAAATTTCAAGAAATCAGCTATGCATATAAATATCTAACAGAAGGTAAATCTACACCTTGAGTGATAATGAGAGGCAACTGTTGATTTAAATATTTTTCTTATTTCTGATGTTTGCCTAGATTACTACGCTTCAAATCCTCATTCATGAAAAATTCTTTGATTTCTCCACAGTGTCCTATAATTATCTAATGCCTAGATAAATTATACTTTTACTAGTAACTTGGAAATAATTTTTTTTATTTTTCTGCTTTGCCCAATAGATATCAAATGTCTGCTTATACTAGTTTGAACAGTTTGTGGACATTTGAATTCATGGATTAAGAAATCAATGAAAATAAAAGCTCTACAAAAATTACCATAATGATTTTTACAGTATATTGCATATCTTCCATCTTCTTTCCATGTTTATTGGTTTTTGTGTCGCCTGCCGAAGACGCAATATGTATTAATTTATCAGTGGCGCTGTTTTTTTTCATGATAACTTGAGTTCAATTTGATCAGTCAAGGTCAAACTTCATACAGTGCTTCCTTACAAAAAGTGCTTGCTTGGGATTGCTTTTCAGGTCTAAAGGTCAAAGGTCAAGTTCACCATTACTATAAATAGAAAATTTGTTTGGTATAATGACCTTACCAAATATACATGCTTAGGATTGCTCATAAGGTCAAAGGTCAAGGTCATTGTATCTGTTCAAAGAAAATTGAGAAACCTGAGTTTTCTTTGGACAATTAGATTAAAACTTCATGCAATGCTTGTGAACCATAAGGGCTTGTTTCAGATTGCTTTTCAGGTGGGTTGTTCTTGTTCCTGCTGTATTGGGAACATGTCAGTATTCAAATTCTATGGTCCGTCGATCGTCCTAAACAGTTTTTGTTATAGCTATTTTTTACAGAGTGCTTGATGAATCTCTCTCAAATTTCTTATGTAGGTTTCCCTTTTTCCCTAGTTTTGCCCATTAAATTTTGGGACTGATCAGAAAATCAAACAGGTGGCCTTCTTGGTTTCCCTTAGTCCCTAGTTGTGCCTGTTTGATTTTAGTACTGAAAAAGAAAATGGCCAAGAGGTGGCCATCTTGGATTTTGGTTTTGAAAGTTGTTATCACTACTACTTGAGAAATACTGCATAGATATTTTGCAAATCTTATGTAAAGGGTCCTCTTTGTTCCTAATTGCGCCTGTTTGGGTTTTGGCGACCATCTTGGATTTGTCTGGTAAAGATTATCATCGCTATTTCTGCAAAGGAATGTTCAAATTTCTTATCACTGAGAGCAAAAACAGAGAAGTGAAGAAAAATAAGGGAAAAGATCCAACTTTCAAAGAGCAAATAAAAATCAAATAATGGTGGGCGCCAAGATCCCTCTGGGATCTCTTGTATTTACCGTAAATTTGCATGCATAGTGCACACTTTTTGGGGCAAAATCTGTCGATGTCATGGTAAACAGAATGTAATCATCCTCATTATTGTACTCCATGTTAACATCAACGTCAGGCCCACTATCAGCCCATCCCATTGATGCTTTGAAGTCTGTGAAGTCTGCATGCGCGGTTCTGTCATACTGACAGCAATACTGGCATCTTGGCGATCGCATGCGAAGTTATACAGCTCTCTCTCTCCATCTCTATCAGACTTTCTGGTCAGGGGTTGGGAGTTTAGGTGTTCATCTGTTGGATTCTGTGATGTAATCCTAATTCTGTACACAGTTATGATATACGGATCAGTCCTGAGGATTCAGTACATTCAGTATATCCAATCTGTACGTTTACTCCTCACATCTCAAACAAATGGACAGATTATATAATGGAATAAACAGAATGAATATCGATAGCTATTGTTCAATGAAACTTATCTCAAAAAATCTTGCTGGGCAGGCGACACATCAACTTATGTGGAATTCTTGTTATCAAAACTTTGATGGATGTGTTTTGTCATTATTGGATTTTGTGTTTATAGGACCAAGTTCCATTGGAGGAGATTACAGTGGAACAGAAGGGGAAGGTATCCCGGTAAGTAAATAGAGAGACTTGATTTTGTCATTCACTACCGTGGACCAAAATGTTGATAAAGAAGTAACTCAGAGCTGGACAGATTTTTAACTTTGCTGGATTGATTTGATTCAATTACTTCTATATTAGTGGTATTTAGTGTGAATGAATCTTAAAGCCCCAATATACGTAAAAATCACTATAAAAAAACAAACTTTATCTTATTTTCCCCGTAATATATGTAACAAAACAAATATTTTCCTTTAATTAAAGAAAACAAAACTGACTGTTTTCAATTTAAATAAAAATTGAAAAAATCGGAAAATAAACAATGTGGGACCCACAATAATTCATACATTACCGCTCGTAGCGATGACATTGCGTATGCGCATATTCCGCGCGTGTAAACATGGCAGACACAGTACAGACGTCCATCAGACCAGTTCTGAATTCTTATGTTATAATTGTGTATCGTTTCTAAACTAATTATTACTTCTAATAATTTCCCAAAAACTGAATGTTTATCACAGGAATACCTAAAGTCTACGACAAGACTTCGCAAACAATGTTTGTAAACAAAAACTTACCGTAGACGTATCTGCATGTGCTTCCTCTATAAGTAGAAACCTCAACTCTCGCGAGATCAGGTCATGAACTTTCCGACGTGGTTCAGCAACAATCGTAATTTCGATGGCGGCGTGTTTAAAATGGAGGTGTGTTTACAAATAGCGAGTTTCAACTGCTCATATATCAATACTTTATGCACAAAGTCATGGGAACTATTGTTTGAATCACTTCATTTTAACTACATCTTAGAGAATATCTCAATAAATATGTGTGATTCTACACTAAATTTTTGGTGAATGTTACGTATACTGGGGCTTTAATCTATTTGTAAAATGAACAATAAATCTGGTGGTATGTGTTGTTAGGAGTTTTAATACTCAATTAAACCAGCATTTCCTCTAATTTTCTAGTTTTTATATCCCCTTTAGGGTATATAGCTATCACTTTGTGCATCTGTTCATGTGCGTTTGTTTGTGTGTGTCTGTTTGTATGCGTCTGATGTATGTGTGTTTGTGTGCGTTTGTGTGTGTCTGTTTGTATGCATCTGTTCGTGTGCGTCTGTTCGTATGCGTCTGTTCATGTGTGTTTGTTCGTGTGCATCTGATTGTATGCATCTGTTCATGTGTGTATGTTTGTATACATCTGTTCGTATGCATCTGTTCATGTGTGTTTGTTGATGTGCGTCTGTTCGTGTGCGTCTGTTCGTATGTGTCTGTTTGTATGCGTCTGCTCGTGTGCGTTTGTTTGTGTGTCTGTTTGTGAGTGTGTGCATCCCTACTTGTTTAACATTGTGTACAAGGTGTACCATGAACTCTTTAACAATTCACACCATACCACCGAGGTCTACGTCTGATTAGAATTTATTGGTTGTCATTGGTTACAGTTATAGGTGAGCACGTTCTTCCTTATCAAGGGGTAGGAGGGGATGGAGTGGGGGTAGAGTTAGGGTGGAGCATATCTATACGAGCTCTTGCTCACTTTGTTTTTCTGATAAATGATTCACTACCAGAAGTGTTAATATAGCAGGTTATCTTGGTAGACATATATATATATATGTACATCAGCAGCTTTTGAATTTTTAGCACATGCATATTACTGGAGATGAACATAACAGTATGCATTTAAATGTTAGCCTCAACTGGCAGATTGGGCCTTTTTAGGTGATCTAGAATTTGTAGATTAGAGTCATTGTGAAACAGAGGAAACATTGATCCTGTCCATAATGTCAGAAAATATGTATTGAAAAACTGTTTTAATGAGAGATTGTACTGAATTGGTTATCAATGACAGTACCAACGGTTTACTATGACAGATTGTACTGAATAAAATTAGTGATCATTGAAAAAAATGAACTTTCACTTTATCATTACAGTTTGACATTCTGGTGAGGCTGTTCCCTTGGCTTGTGCAGGGTAAGAATATTTATGTGATGTTGACTGCAGGTCTCACTGTATGATATGCTTCACAAATTTTAAGGAGTACACTTCAGTATTTTGTGATTTGGCTTCAAAAAACATTATAAATAGTGCTTATGATTTAAACATGTTCACATTTTATAACAGAAAACTGTCAAATTCTTGTAAATATTTGCCTTTTTTCCCAAAGCTGGAATTAAATCTGTTTGGAGTGTATGTATATGATATTATATAATGTTTTTTTAAGAATAGTGAGTCTTCGAAAACAATGGGATTTTTTCGCAGAAATTTTCTCTTTAATTTTAGAATAATTTCTTTTTAAAATGCAGATAATTATTGTTTAAACCACCCTTTTCATTAATCATGTTTATTGATGTCTGTATCCATTTGTATAACACCATTGTCATATTGTGTTACAGATATGGGGGTAAGCTCACCTTTCATGTTTGGAGGTCCATTTGGCAGTTCTGGCATCTTTGGAGGAAACCCGTTTGGTTTCCAGAGGACATCATTCTTTATGGGGTTTGATGATGGCCTCTCATTTCTCATAGATGACGACAGTGACGACTTCTTTGGAATACCGTCAGGATTTTCTCAGAGATCGCATATACGACCTAATTGTAATCACAGACATTCAGCCACTCGTCAAAATAGAAACAATTCTAGAAATTTTAGTAGTGGCTTTTATTCACATTCAGGACAAAATTTGTCTTCAGCACAAGCATATGGTGGGACAAATCCAACGAAAGCATCAAACAGAAAATGCACAAGTGCGAGGATCAATGAGGAAGTGTATGAAACTCAGCTGCCACCTAAAACAGGGGAACCAGAGAACAGTAAAAAGAAGAAGAAGAAAAAGAAAAAGAAATCTGCCAATCAGAAAGAAGGTACAGTATGCTAAGATATAATAGCTGTAGGTAAGCTAATGGTGGGCTAAGCCTTATGCCCATGGTCAGTCATCAGTACCTCAGGAAACAATTTTGTTATTACATTTTCTTGAGAAGTACTGGAGGAATCTTTCTTAAATTTCATATGTAAGTTTCCCTTGCTCCCTAGTTGTGCCCATTTGATTTTTGGACTGACCAGAAAAACAAAGTGGCCGACAGTTGGCCATCTTGGATTTTGACAATGAAATTTGTTAGTGCTATTTCTTGAAAAGTACTGATTTGACTTAAATTTCATGTGTAGGTTTCCCTTACTCCCTAGTTGTGTCTGCTAGATTTTTAGTCTGATCAGAGAAAAAAAAATTGGCCGAGAGTCAGCCATCTTGTATTTTGTCCAATAAGGCTTGTTATCGCTATTTCTTGAGGTGTACTGGATGGGTCTCTCTCAAATTTCATAGGTTCCTATTCATGTCTACTTGTTGTTGGGACTGACCAGCCAACAGACAGCCATCTTGGATTTGACATTGAAAGATTGTCATCACCATTTCTATTTGGCCATCTTGAATTTTGACTTGGAAAGTTTGTTATTGCTTTTTCTACTACTACAGCATAAATCTTTCATACATAGGTTTCCTGTAGTCCCTAGTTGTGCCTGTTTTATTTTGGGACTGATCAGAAAAAATGGCTTTCATTAAGAGCAAAAACAGAGAAGAAAAAAGAAAGGAAAAGATCCAACTGTTAAAGAACAAATAAGGATCAAACATTTGTGGGTGCCAAGATCCCTCTGGGATCTCTCAATTGGACCTGCTGACTTCAGTTCCTCTTGTCCTGTTAACCTACGGACAGTCATTTGTTGACTAAGGATAGGCATTTATTAACTTAATAGTAAAATATTTGTTGGCTCAAGACCAACATTATGTACTCAAGAAAAACATTAGCTGACAAAAAAGAACAACATTTACCTTGTGTCTTTCTTTAATACAGAATTATGGTTTTCATTTATCTTTATGTTCAGTTTGGCATTCATCATCAAATTTTTCCGTTTTAGACATCATCTTTTCAATATGCAAGAGACCTTGAGTTATGATATTTGTAAGTTAGATTCCTGAAAGGAATCCGTGACCTTCACACATATACAAGATCACAGAGGTCAAATTTGTATAAACATTCAAGCAACTTTCTCTGATTAATCCAAAAACCAAAAATCGTGAAATTTGGTTTCTAGGTGCCTGAGAGGAAGCTAGACAATAATTTGGACCAAAAAGTAATTAAACCTTATCAGGATATATGTCTGATATTTTCTTTGGATGTAGCCTGTCAAAGTTTGTGAACAGGTATTCCCATGACCATGTTCAAAGTCACAGGGGTCTATTTTTTTTCAAGAAAAAAACTTCATTAGTTGATTAGCCTTCAGTGTTTGACTGTTAGAAAAAGTATTGAATGCCTGGTGAGCAATGCAGGTCTATTGGGCCTTTTGTTATAAACAAAGCATGCCAAACTTTTACCATTACTAGAATATCATGGTATGATGAAAGGATTATCTCCCTTGTCTTGCAGAACCTTCAGTTGAAACAGATAGTGCCATGGAAACGCCCCTAATATACCAATCTGAGCCCCCTGAGAAGGAAAGTGTTGATGTGAAAGAAACTCAAGCCAGTCCCTCACCACTGGTGGAGCCAAAACAAGAGGTTTGTGCATATGATAGCACCAATGTTTTCTTATAAAATATATTCTGCTGTTCTTAAACTCAATATTTGTAAATGATGTGTTTGAGGTTAAGTTGTTAAGAGTTAAGCTTGTTTGGAAAAAAGAGGAGTCAAAAGCAGTGTTTGTATCTTTTACTATTGTTTTCAATGAAACCTCTCTTCTTCAGTAAGTAGGGTTAGTGGCTGATAAATCTCCAATTGAACTAAAGGTCTGTTTTCTCTTTGTCAAAGGTTCCCCAAAGACTTAATAAAAAAGCCAGAAGAAAGTTATTGAGAGAACAACAGAGGAAAGAAAAGGTAGTTATCTGTTTGTGCAGTCATTACAAATCTCATTCCCCTTATCAATAAACATGGGGGACTGTAGCTTTTTCTGCATTCATCCATCCGTCTGTCAGCTAATCAATTCAAAACCTTTAGTTAAGGTGTTGTTTGCAGGTTTTTAAGTGACTGAAGAATTATTTTAGGATGTTGATATTTTACATATATGTTCATAAAGATCCAGCATTATTGTCACAGAGTAAAACAGGAATTTTTGTTTTTCTTTCCTCTTCCAAAGGGCCAAGTGAACTTCGGGCAAATAGTGGTGTAACGATAGGTCAACTTATCGATGAATTGCGATAGGTTTGCACTCAATAGCAATAGGTCAATAGCATATTTTTCAAGTCGATAACTATTGCAATATTTTTATAACTTAACAAAAATTCTTGAAAGCAAGATTTTTCACCCAAGTTGTTGCCCAAGAGCGGCAACCATTGTTTATTTATGAGAGTGCCTTGGGACCTCAATCAGAGTAGCACTAAAGACAAGAACAACAAAATCTATTTTTCTTGGTCATTACCTTCATTTGGTAAATAGCTATATCATCACCTTTACTAGACCTATTCTATATATTGTTGGACACGGCTCTGCCAGTGATATATGAAGTGTGTCAAAAATTATTTGAAAATATAATTTAGTGTGACAACTGTGCAACATACTTGATTGTGTAAAAATTGTAATATTTTTTTTTAGTTTAAGCAATTGCTTTATTGAGCATTTTGATCCATTAAATGGTTAGTGACTCCACTTTATTTTTGGTTAGAAAATCATATTTTAAAGTTAAAATATATTCTAATATCACAATAATGACTGTGTTTGTCTCTCTGTCAACTCTGTAAACAACTGTGTGGTTGTTGACCAAATTTTTCAGAAGAATCTGTGGCGAAGGGGGAACCAATTTATATAATTGTTGGGTCTCAGCCACTCGGGACCTAAGGGGCAGTGCCCCAAAAACGAAACTACTCATGTAGGAATGACAGGAATTTAACTGTTTGGTCTGAAGATTCCTTGGGTGAGGAAAATCAGTTTATAAACAGTGGATCTTGGTCCCATGGGGCAGGAGGGGACGGGCCCAATAGGGAAAATAGATCAAATCTCTTAAAATCCTACTCCTCCTGTAGAGTGAAAAGATGTAGCCTAAATTCTGTCTGAAGCATCCATGGATGAAGGAGATAATATTTGTATAAACAGTGGATCTTGGTCCCATGGGGCAGGAGGGGACGGCCCAATAGGGAAAATAGATCAAATCTCTTAAAATCCTACTCCTCCTGTAGAGTAAAAAGATGTAGCCTAAATTCTGTCTGAAGCATCCATGGATGAAGGAGATATTATTTGTATAAATAGTGGATCTTGGTCCTAGACATGGGGCCCAATATGAGAAACAGAGCATATTCTGTAAAACCTTCTTCTCAATTTTACCCAAAGTTGATCTGCAGCATCCTTGAAGAGAACTTAGCTTTGTATAAATGGTTCATCTGACCACTCTTGAGGGAAATAGTTACAAGTCTATTTTTCCTTTAGTTTAAAGCATTTTCATCAAATTAAACCAGGTGAGTGCAACACAGGTCTTTTGAGCCTTTTTTGGAGGTTGGGGTTGGGGAGGGTGACCTTTTTTTATTAATATTTATTTCTAATAGTAAAAATGAAACTATTTCTTCCAGATGTTTAAGAACTTAATTTTTGATTGATCACTGTGTCATAGTTTGTTGGGGCTTGTAGGAAACATGTAAATACATGTAGATTGTGGGGGCGTGTAGGGAACATGTGAATACATGTAGATTGTAGAGGCTTGTAGGAAACATGTAAATACATGTAAATTGAAGAGGTTTGTAGGGAACATGTGAATACATGTAGATTGTAGGGGCTTGTAGGAAACATGTAAATGCATGTAAATTAAAGATGCTTGTAGGGAACATGCGAATACATGTAGGTTGTAGGGGCTTGTAGAGAACATGTGATTACATGTAAATTGTAGGGGCTTGTAGGGAACATGTGAATACATGTAGATTGTAGGGGCTTGTAGGGAACATGTAAATACATGTAGATTGTAGGGGCTTGTAGGGAACATGTAGATTGTAGGGGCTTGTAGGGAACATGTAAATACATGTAGATTGTAGGGGCTTGTAGGGAACATGTAAATACATGTAGATTGTAGGGGCTTGTAGGGAACATGTGAATACATGTAGATTGTAGGGGCTTGTAGGGAATGTGTTTTGCTTTAGCATGTCTCAACATGAGCTTTGTAGATTGGGTTAATTTCCTTGTTAACAACAGTGAGAATTGTAGAATCGTTATGAGTTTATTTAAAAGGAAATCTTGTCTTGATGTCAAATCTCAGTTGAATTTTGTGTTGCTATTTTAATGTTGCCAAAGTTTTATGATGTGTATAGGACCCTAATAACCTACTTTTGTGAAAAGATAATCTTATCCCTTTTTTAACCACACAGAGCAACACTTTTACATCTGATCCAATTATTAATAACCTGGTAAACAAGGAGCAACAGCGCCCCCTGGTGGAAGATCTTGGTGATACAGATGGTAATGAAGATGTGATAAGTGAGGAAAGTGACAGTGATGAAGACAATAAAGATGACACAGAATCATTGGCATCTGTTTACAACAACGATCCTGACATCATCATTGAGGGTAAGTTGTCAACAGACATCATCACTGAGGGTTAGTTGTCAACAGACATCATCACTAAGGGCTGGTTGTCAACAGCCATGGGCATTGTGGGTACTTTGTCAATAGACATGGGAACTGTGGGTAGATTGCCAACAGACATTGGGGCTGATGGTAATTTGTCATCAGTCAATGGTGCTGAAGTTAGATTGTCAACCAACATGGGGGCTGAGGGAAGATTGTCAACAGACATGGGGGCTGAGGAAAGATTGTCAACAGATGTGGGGGCTGAGGAAAGATCGTCAACAGACATGGGGGCTGAGGGACGATTGTCAACAGACGTGGGGGCTGAGGGAAGATTGTCAACAGACATGGGGGCTGAGGGAAGATTGTCAACAGACGTGGGGGCTGAGGGAAGATTGTCAACAGACGTGGGGGCTGAGGGACGATTGTCAACAGACGTGGGGGCTGAGGGAAGATTGTCAACAGACATGGGGGCTGAAGGAAGATTGTCAACAGACATGGGGGCTGAAGGAAGATTGTCAACAGACATGGGGGCTGAGGGAAGATCGTCAACAGACATTTTGGGCTGAAGATAGATTGTCAACAGACATGGGGGCTGAGGGAAGATTGTCAACAGACATTTTGGGCTGAAGATAGATTGTCAACAGACATGGGGGCTAAGGGAAGATTGTCAACAGACATTTGGCTGAGGAAAGATTGACAACAGACATTTGGCTGAGGAAAGATTGACAACAGACATTTGGCTGAGGAAAGATTGACAACAGACATTTGGGCTGAAGATAGATTGTCAACAGACCTGGGCGCTGAGAGTATTGTCAACAGGCATTAGGACTCAGGGTAGATCGTGAACTGAATACGGCTGTCAGGGTGACAAAGGGAGACATGTTGTTTGTTTCATATAAATCAAAATGTGTTATTTTCTTTACACTGAACTAGTTTTTAGTGTTCTTTAGAGTAGGTATGGAAGCTTCACTGTGCTGACATTGAATTTTTTGTATGTTATTCAGATACTCAGAACTTATTTGTATGTTTTCAGATACTCAGAACTTATTTGTATGTTTTCAGATACTCAGAACTTATTTGTATGTTTTCAGATACTCAGAACTTATTTGTATGTTTTCAGATACTCAGAACTTATTTGTATGTTTTCAGATACTCAGAACTTATTTGTATGTTTTCAGATACTCAGAACTTATTTGAGAGGAAATCAAGAAGGATGAGAAAAAATGGTAGGAATATTATTTCATTATAACAAAGTGCTCTGCTGGTATAACATAAGAAAACTTTATGTCTCTTCTGGAACTGGTCCTTTTGTGAAAGTGTAGGCTAATTATGTACTGAATATACAATTATGACAGGTCAAGGGTCTGTCCACGCCCATGAGATCTAGTCCTTGGGTGAAAGTGCACTTTAAATATGTACTATATATACTATCATTAGTGGTCAAGGATCTGACCACGCTCTTGGAGCAAGTCCTTGTATGACAGTGCACTCTAAGGTGTTACACTCTCTATCATTCTCTGCACCCCTGAAACATTTCATGGCAAAATTGAAGGTCCCTGACACCTTGTGGACAAGACAAAAAGACTAGTTTGATTCCTTTGATGTACATCAAACAAATTTCGAGGTCACATATTGGTATATTGTAATGACTTTGAAGTTGGATATGGCTCCTTTGTAATCTTCAAAAGGAGTATATTAGCCTGTGAATGGTCATTTTTTTCTCCTGGAACCAATCAGATTACTTCACTTGTGCCCTCAATTTCCCCATGACCTTTTCCAGGGGTGCAGAGAGTGAGAGATGACCGTAACTCCTGGAGTATTGAAGATGGCCAATGTGAACTTAACCATATAAAAAAGGTCACATTTATTTGGGTTAAAGTAAAATATTAGGAGAGTCTATTTGAGTGTTAGAGGGTTGACGTAAGAAATTATGATTGATTTTCATTTTACAGAGAAGAAGAAACAGAGATCTGAAGAAGATGGGGACCAGTCAAGAAGAAATGCCCAGAATGAAAATTACAATGACCTGCTTCCGAAATCTGCACAGGAGGAGGAGGAGATGATTCGTCTGGCTATGGAGATGAGTAAACTGGAGAGCAGAGATGAAGCCAAAAACACCAACAAACACCAATCAACAGAAACCAAACCAGGGAGAGGGAAACATGGTGTTCCTGTTATCAACAGTGTCACGAGTGATAGAAATCTAAATTTATCTGAAGACTGTGCAAATGAAAAACTAGCAACAAGGGAGACAACCTTAGTGCCAAATGATAAAAATGAGGACCGAAATCATTCTCAAAAGGACATAACTGGGCCTGGAGATGTATCTGGTTTACAGAGTAGAGATAAACGATGTCCTGAGAGTAAGTCAGGAGGTTGGTATGACAGTATAGGCTCTATGCCATTACAGAGTTCTAGTGACACAGACTTCACAAAGACTTATTACAAAGAAATAAGCCCCCCTGCTGGGGAGAGACTCTTTTCACTTGGCCTGGATAATCAGAATAAACAGCAGCCCTCTCAATACTCATCTATTGACTCAGACTCAGGGTCAGGACAGGGTGCATCAGAATTTTTTGACAATTCTCAATTCTTCAGATCTACTGAAACTCCAAACACATGGAAAGAAGCTCCACCAAAAAGCACAAACTCACAATTCTATGAAAAGACACCATGGGAACCTGTGGTTAAAAACCAGTCAATGGATAAATGTGTTTCTCCAACGCCTTCTCAAATGGCTCAAGGGAATAAGCACAATTCTTATCAAAATACATATGGATTTGATATGGGAGAAGTGTCTAAGTCAGCATATCCTCCGCGAGATCGTCATGGTTCTGATTACCCCACAGGGGTGTATAGAGAGCCAGAAAACAAGCCACATAGTGATCCTTTCACCATAAATCTGCCCACAAAACCAAGTCCTATTCAACCACCGATTATAGACTCAAAACATCAGGAACAGAGAAAGTCTGCAGAACATCCATTCCTGTTCCAGGCAAGATCTGGAGAAACTATCCCAGATCCTTATGGTACAAATCGAGTAACCAAGTCATTCCATACTGGTCCTAGTGTGCAGGAGCAAAAAGGACAAAGTACAAGCAACTTTATGTTCCATCCAGAGACTAAGAATGATCAGGAACAATTCAGTTTTTACAGGGATCCAAAAGTCTCTCCTAGAACTACCAAAGGCTTCGTGGAAACACCATTGGACTTTTATGGTAGCTCTTTGTATGCTACAAAATCTGCCAAGGAATTAAACAGTGAGATGGATGCAATGAGTTTTTATAGGGATAAGATATTCCAAAAAGATTCTAGTGGAATATTCAGTCAAGATCAGCCTAGGCCTAGTGTTTATGGCTCTGAGTTTATCCCAAACAAAAATATACGCAATCAAAACAACGCAAACACTACTTCTAATAATGCTGATCAAAGAAAGATGTTTGAGAGCTCCCTTGGGAATCCAAATGGTTACTTAGGCAACATGACCCCAAGTGGTGGACTGTTTGGGGCACCTCAAAGGGTTCTTCCAATCAACACAGAGCAGAGCAGACTATTTGCAGGTGCTTATGGATCAAATACCAATATTCAGCAACATACACCTTTTAATACAAGCACAAGTCAGATATATGGAAGGCCTCAAGTTAACCCTCACAGTGTCCCAACTGCTCCGCCTCAAAGTGATCTTTATAATGGCCATGGTCATGTGACTGGCGGGTTACCAAGTGACACGGGTAAGTTGTATGGTAGCCAGATTCGATCTCAGGGAAACCCTGTTGGGAGGCCTAACCCCATACAAGGCCACATGTATGGAAGTATGTATTCAAAAAACATTAATGGTAGAACACCTGGTGTTACATCTAACCAAAACAATGACCCACCAGCTGCACAACATCAGCCATATAGTGACCAATATGGTTACCACATCAACAATGCCAAACAAATACCTACCAATCAAGGACATCATCCAAATAAAAAGGGGTCAAATGTCAAATCAACTCGGCATGTGGATGATATGGACGATATAGATGATGTAAATCTCAACCTCAGTGGAAGATCAGAGTTCAGAGGTCAAAGTCAGACAGGTATGAACTCTGACCTCTCTGGAGTACTAGGAGGCAGAAGTCTGTACATTCCTGCAGGAATACAAGTAGACATGTATAAAGGTGCATATCAGGAAAAGTGATTGTGCAGCAGTACATTAAAAATAAGGGGAAAGGACATACTAATTGGTAAGATAACAATTTGTACACTTGGTAGGGAAGAGGAGGGGTGGGGTCATTACCTCTGACTTAAAGTCAAGGAAGAGATCATGAATCGTATTTGTAATTTTACTTAAAAGCAATAGGTAACAGGAATGGTAGATTAGTAACCTATAATTCAGACACAGAAAATATACATTTTTTCAATGTCACTGCAATGGTTTACCCAATCTGGTGGACGGTGTAACCTTAAGTTATCACTACAATTCTCCATGGAAACCGAACACTTATCATTCAGGCAGATTGATATTTGTAATGTGTTAGAAATCTCCATGGAGATTGAGAAAATCACCCTGGAGACAGAGAGTGGTCTTTATCAGACAGTGAGATGATCAAAAGTCCTCACAATGTGATAGGATTGCTTACCACTGATAGATGTTACATAGACTGGAACTGTACACTGTTATTACCTGCCAACATTATTTTACAAATTGATTAGAAGGTAACTGGGATACCTACTAGTGGTTTAGAGAAAAGGTATTTGTATCTTTTCTAGCTCTCAAAATTACACAGCATTAAGTACAGTCGAACCTAATTATCTCGAAGTTGGTGGGACTGTGGTTATCCGAGGTCATTCTAAGTGAGTTTAAATGTTTAGTGTGGACTTTGGCTGGAACTGACAAAAAACTTTGAGTTAAACAGGGTCTTGGAGTTATTAGATAATGAGGTTCAACTTTATTTGAATACAGTATTGAATGAGTTGAATATGAAACTGAGCCAGGAAAAACCATTTTATACCTATCTCATGGTCTGTGTTAATCCCAGACACGCGGACTACTAGCAGCTTGGTTCTACTGAATAGAGTTCTGTTACTTCAATGTTTCAGAAGAAATCAAGCTATTAAATATTCATTGTTGATTTTGATTGTTTTACTGGGTTGATTTTTGATACAAGTGCTGCATAATGATGAAACATTTATTGATGCGAGTCACTGATGACACAGTTTAACTGGATTTTTGTCGTGTATAATGATACAATATTCATTGATGTTTGTAAAGGACAAAGTTAATGCATGTCAGTTATGATGTTGATGTTGATGGTATTTATGTATGTGATCTAGTCCAACTCCTCTATGACTGTTTAGTGTTAAACTGTCTCGGACCATTCTGTTGATTAAGTATTGGGAGGTATGTGAAAATTTGCTTTAGTTCCTATAAAGAATGTTGCTTCTGGTCATATTTTTGCTGCACATTGAGTGTTGCTGTATCACCTGATTTCATCAGTTACTGGTCAATCAGATATTAGCGATAGGATTGACCTGCTGGAGTTCAAAATGATGTTTAAAGGTAACACAGAACATCCTCTAAACATATACAGATGTGATAACAGTAATTTGATAAGGTCATTTTCTTTTATCACTCTTTAAAACACCCTGTGACCTTTGACCTTTGACTTTGAGGGGTTATCGCCAGATATGAGATAAGTAGACTTTGGCAGCACTGCATGCTTTGATTTTGTGTTATGTTTAATTTCAAATGAAAAGTCTTTTGCCTATTTTTGTTATTTTTTAAGACGCAAATTTAATTTGCATACCTGTTCTTCAACTTTAATCATTTTAACAATGAGACTGAAACATTGTTCACAAACACAGACACAAATTCTCAACCAATGTTATAAATATATGTATATGAGATATAAGAATATTATTCAGTGTTGTATATCTTATAAGACGTTAGCCCTGCAGAACTAGTGTATTATTACTACAAACACAGATCTTGGGACGAGTGATTCAGGCCAAGTCCCAAGAGTGTAATTGTCCTCATGATGTCAAATATCTAGATAACAAAAAGATTGTTGTTGTTTTAGGGAACAAGGGCTTTGTTATGCACATGTGCTCATTTACATGAAGATGATTTTTTTTCTTTTTTTTTTTTTTCTATTTTTTGTTTTTTTGTTTTTGTTTTTTTGTATTAAATGTGGCAATGGAATGAAGAATAAATCACTTTATCACATCAAGATGCTTTATTTCAAAGTACCATAAAAATAAAAACCCACATAGTTACATTGTACCTTAACTTTAATGTAACTATGTAGGTTGTTAATTTCCAATTCATGACCATGAGTACCTGTTGTGTTATGTACCAATACTGGAGTCACAATTTGTGGCAGAAATTGATCCTTTTGACAATTTTACTTTGTAAGGTAATTATGAAATCACTGTCATTTTCTTAACATGCTGATTGGTCAAGACATGTTTCATAGGTCAAAATATAATATGATGTTGCACCAAAGGTCTAATTATTTTGCAATCGATGCTACATATGAAATAGAGTATGTGCACGCGAGGTGAATATAACAATCCATAACCCTGCCGATGTCTCACACGTGAAAATAATCAGTAATCTGTGCTGCAATTTTTGACCAGTCAAAGCCATAGATACTTTCAGTCATCATATATCGAAATGAATTATTTGTATAAGGAAAGAAGCAGTTTTAGTGGGGATGTTGTATTCCTGAAGACATTGAATATTGTTTCAGGGACGTCCCTGAATGTGTGGAAGTCCAACAGTATGAGATACCATTAACTTGGATCGAGTTTCTTACATTAAAGTATTAGTAAATTTGTGTTTTCAGGGACGTCCCCGAATGTATGGATGTCCAACAGCACGAGACAAACATTAATCTGGAGTTACATTGTTAGCTTTCAGTGATGTCCCTTAATGTATGGAAGTCCAACAGCACAAGATGAACCTTAATCTATAGTTACTTATATAAAGGTAGGGTTAAATTTGTTAGCATTTTGGGTTGTACATGTATAAACATGAAAATATTTAAAGATTGAGTTATGTGGTACATGCATGTAGTTGGAGGTGTAAGTCTAAACGGATTGTATCATTCTGATGTGATGTATCTAAATAAAACATGGTTGGGAACTGAAGAGGTCTTAATCTGTTATCTGTTACCTTATTTAGATCAGTTAAAGGTTTTTTTATACAGCAACCCATCAACAATACTTCATCACCATCTCAATTTTCTGGCCAACCTTGAGAGTAGGAGGCAGCTGGAGAGAATTAGGATCAATTTACAAATCATTTGCTTTATTTTCAGTGATGCATACCTAGCGGTATATTTGCATAAGTACACAGGTTCCTGATCTTCTAGAATAACATTTAGTGTGGAAGCAACTGCAGTACTTGATCTGAAGCAGTTTTACCCTGCAACTTAGGATACACGTCCATAGATAATGGAAGACAGTTGTAAGCAACAATGAATTAAAGTCAAATCACTTATAGCATTATCAGAGCATTCACATAGGCATGCCCAACCCCATGTGTCTGCCAGAAACAGGTGCTTGTCAGGTCCGCCAGTGTCAGTAATATTCTCTTCAGTCAAGGTCGTGCTAGCTAGCAACAATGGTCGCAAAATCAAACTACTCAGGACTTTGCAGTTATCAAACTAGTACTGTAGTAGTTACTTTTGTAATGGAGAAGATCTCTGTTTAGATGGGTTTTTTCTATGTTACCATGGAAACAGATGAACCAAATTTCAGATTCAGTTGTACAGACCATGATCCCCAAACCATGAAACTGTTAGCAACAACTAAGCTGGCATTCTGGTAGTGCCTTTAGCTGTGTACAGCCAACAAGCTGGTATTCTGGTAGTGCCTTTTGCTGTGCACAACCAACAAGCTGGCATTCTGGTAGTGCCTTTTGCTGTGTACAACCAACAAGCTAGCATTCTGGTAGTGTCTTTTGCTGTGTACAACCAACAAGCTGGCATTCTGGTAGTGCCTTTTGCTGTGTACAACCAACAAGCTAGCATTGTGGTAGTGTCTTTTGCTGTGTACAACCAACAAGCTGGCATTCTGGTAGTGCCTATTGCTGTGTAAAACCAACAAACTAGCATTCTGGTAGTGTCTTTTGCTGTGTACAACCAACAAGCTGGCATTCTGGTAGTGCCTTTTGCTGTGTACAACCAACAAGCTAGCATTGTGGTAGTGTCTTTTGCTGTGTACAACCAACATGCTGGCATTCTGGTAGTGTCTTTTGCTGTGTACAACCAACAAGCTGGCATTCTGGTAGTGTCTTTTGATTTGTACAACCAACATACTAGCATTCTGGTAGTGTCTTTTGATTTGTACAACCAACAAGCTTGTATTCTGGTAGTGCCTTTTGCTGTGCACAACCAACAAACTAGCATTCTGGTAGTGTCTTTTGCTGTGTACAACCAACAAGCTGGTATTCTGGTAGTGCCTTTTGCTGTGCACAACCAACAAACTAGCATTCTGGTAGTGTCTTTTGCTGTGTACAACCAACAAGCTGGTATTCTGGTAGTGCCTTTTGCTGTGCACAACCAACAAACTAGCATTCTGGTAGTGTCTTTTGCTGTGTACAGCCAACAAGCCGGTATTCTGGTAGTGCCTATTGCTGTGTAAAACCAACAAGCTGGCATTCTGGTAGTGTCTTTTGCTGTGTACAGCCAACAAGCTAGCATTGTGGTAGTGTCTTTTGGTGTGTACAACCACTAAGCTGGCATTCTGGTAGTGCCTTTTGCTGTGTACAACCAACAAGCTAGCATTCATTTCTTGTGGAGTATTAATTTTCAAGTAGGTTGCATTTGATTGTTGGTTGGTATGGATCAGAAAAATAAATGGCGGACAATTGCCCATCTTGAAATTAACTTTGAAATTTGTTACCATGGAAACGGACGACCCTCATCACCAACTTCAGTTTTTCTGGACCAGTGCTCAGAAACTGTTCAAGATAATTGCTCAAAACCTTTTTACACTTATTAAGATAGCAATATGTTTTGCTATGGGGAAGATTTCCATTTAAATACTTTTTCTGTTAAAATGGAAACAGACAGGCCAAATCAGACCAGTAATCTTAAACCATTCAAGGTAGTTACCCTGTACTCAAAACAGTGTACATGCATCAAGCTAGTACTCTAGTAGAAGTTCTTCATTTCAGTAATTTGAATGGAACAACGAAAGATAACAAATAGAAATTAAACTTTGTTATGATATTAACATACATATATGATTGTGTGTCTTTCTTTTAAACAGCAGGGTGCATAGGATAATGTTCTATTTCATCCATCTTGGAGAACTGGTCGATGAAACAAATTGCGGACAGTCGACCATGTTGTATTTGACAGTTAAAGGCTTTTATTTTGTCTCTTTCTTGAGAGGTATAATTTGTAAAATTCATATAATAAAGAGTAAGAGAACAAACATGAAAAATAAGAAACAAAATTCAGTTCATGAAGAACAAATGAATATAATATAATGGTGGGTGCCATAATCCCTTCGAGATCTCTTGTTTCTAAACCCATTGTCGATATTTCTTCCGAACTTTGGCCCCAATGTGATGTCTACACAAGCAGACCTAGTTTGGTGGTTTTGTGCTGTATTTGTTATGAGGTAGAAATACCTTGGTGGTTTTATGTCGTGACACAGCTCTACACTAATGTAACCACAGAGACAGAGAAGCAAACTTCGGTAGAGTGTCGACCTTTTAACCTTGCATGAAAGTGTTTCCAAGGTAGCTTAGAGCCAGCTTGTGCTGTACTGGCTTTGTCCTAGGGCAAGACACTTTACCCTCAGTAGCTCTAGATGGCTGCACAGCGGGCCTCCCGTATGTTGTTCAATGAGGTAGCCACCAGCCACTGCAAGGAGTCCCCGCCTCAAAATGACCCTGGTTATTTACGAGACGACAACCCCAGTCAACAGACCGTATTTAACTTGTACGGATTAAAAGAGCCATTCGTTTGTAAAGGTTTATGTAGGTTGTATCAATTATTTAAAAATCACGAAATGTTTTCTGTCATTTGCTGTACCTTTAATATGTTGTGTATGCAATTTTCCCCTTGAATCTGTAAACTTAATGGATACCATTGAAGTCTCTCATTGATGTACCGATAACATCTACACTGTAAATGGATAGTTTACCTTCCATGTGATGTGATGTCCACGGAAACCAGGTAAATACAGACCATGTATTTTACAGTATTTATTATTACGATAATAATGTTTTAATTATCTCGACAAATAACAACATATGTGAAACTTTATTTAACAGTTGTATGGTAACCTTCATGTATGTCCTCTGGAATCTAAAGTAGGGCGTGCGCTTGGTAATAATTTCTTCTTCTTTTTTATTGAGAGACTAAAACATTTAGTTCAGGTAGTAAAATAAATGTGATTTGCCCCATTACTATCACAAGATCTTATTTTTAAAATGGATAAAAAATTTAAATCGATTAAATCGCAGCAACGAATTTCCATAACTTTAATTCGCATGAATGCAACTAATTACAGGACACTTAGGTGAAGTGTATCAATCATTTAGGACCCCGATTTCAAAAGCAAAACAGCGTAACCCTTTTTTTTTTTTTTTTTTAAACATTTGATATACAATGTTGTTCACCATACCTATTCATTATGTAGTCACATCGACTTGTACCGTAATGAAAATATAACTCCCACCCCAAACCTCATCCCCCGGATCAGTTAGTAACATACAGTAATCTTGTTTGTAGTTAAGATATATATATATATATATATATATATATATTAGGCTTTATTCAGGCTTCTTAACATAATCCTATTAATACACAATATAAAAATTGTTTAAGTTAACAAGTAAAAAATATTATATTAATTAAAAGATAATTTATTATGATAATTAATTTAAAAGAATAATGAAACAAACATTATTTTACACGTTATTTTATTTAAGACAAAGTTTTGATTCTCAGATGTGACAGGTCAACAAACATTAACAAAACGAAAAAAGATGTACATATACTAGGTAGATAAGGGATTACTTTTTAGTACTTTTTCGGGATATATTTATAGGTAATACGTGTAGTTTACATCAGTAGGAACCATTTTTAATCATACACTGAAATGTTGGTTAAAATATTAACACAGTGTCATGAAAAAAGTAAAGAATGAATCAATGTCTAAACAAAACAAACACATTTTTAAAAATAACCTTCGGAAATCTCGCAGTTTCTTAATTCTTAAATTTCAATAATCTTTTCGTCTAAGAGTTAGAATGATGATATGGTAACATTGTCCGTTTGTGGTTTTTGTTTGTTGAGACGCGATGTCTGCAGTAATGAATGCACTCCAAACAATGAATGATGAAGTCTTAAGCGATCTGTATCTCGTCATGCGTAACGATTATATAAGTAGCGCAATATGAAGATCACGTGACTTTGATTTACTTTGTACGTGGGGACGAAATATATACAAGAGACATTTCAACGAACAACGAAATATGAAAACAGGATATCCGATAAATATATTTTAAAAAAACTGGATTTCTTTCACGAAATAGGACATTAACACTTCCTGACGTTTTAATAAGTATACATCATCAGAGATGAACAAACAAACTGGAAGTATACACAGTATATCAAAGTAAGTATATGTATGTAATTCATCTGCAACGAGGAAATAGTACTTAATAGCTTTTCGTGATTCAATAATTCATATGCCATTCTAACAACACCGATCAGGAATGCCCTAACTCTTGTTTGTACACCGAAATCAACGCATTAATGAAGTTAAAACTTAACGTATAAGGACTGGTGAGATTCAAATGAAAACCCAAACAAACGTGTTCGGATTGGCGAGATTCACATGTATAGCGAAAGCAAGTTATCTAGATTGATGAAATTCATATGTACATCGAAACTACGTTATCCGGACAGGTGAAATTCACATGTACATCGAACCTAAGTTATCTGGATTGGTGGAATTCACATGCATGCTGAAACTACGTGATCCGGACTAACAAGATTTCCATTTAAACCCAAACTAACATATCCCTACCGAACCGTCGAGATTCACATATCAACTTGCTTTTCCGGACTGGCGAGATTCAATTGTACAACGACACGAAATTGCCCGAACGGGTGGACTTCACTTGTACACCGAAACCTACCAACTTTTCCGGACTGGCGAGCTCGCATGTACATTAATTCAAACGTATCCGGACTAACGAGATTCCGTTATATTAACAACCTTACGTATCGCACAGGAATGTTCAAATACATATAGTGATACAGTTAGATATGGTTTCTTTCTTTTCAGACTTCTTATTACTAACGATTTTGATTTTTAGGAGGGGGGCGGGGGAGCTGCTACACTTCATATAACCGATTATTTCAGTCCAGTAGTTCGGAAAACTCCAGTTAACGAGTATTTACTAATTCGCGCGTTTGAACAATTCAGACCAGTATTCGAGTTAAACAAATATTTGAATCATTTCATTGGTTTGAAAATGTCCAATCTGTATGAGTTATTACCATTTCACCTCTTTGAACAATTCCGTTCAGTAGTCAAGTTAAAAGAATATTTAGCAATTCATGTATTTTAAAAAGTCCAATATGTATTCGAATTAAACCGAGCAATTGCCAATTTACGTGTTCGAATGAGTCTCTAGTCGAGGTACGCGAGTATTTATCACTGCACGTGACGACACATTTAATAGTGTAGTCGAGCTTGACGGATACTCAACGATGCATGACTTAACTTCATCATAGACGCGTCCACTCTCTAATATTAGTTCCTTGTTGATTCTCTAAAAACTCGTTTTCTTTTTCTTTTTGCTCATCAGCAATCTTGACAACAACGTTTTTTCCCGCCATTTCGACCACGCCGTTAGGCTGTTTATAGTCAACCATGTCCCTCTGTTGCTTCTGTTTCTGCTCGCTTGCTCTTTTCTTCGGCATAGACAGAACAATTTTCCTCCAGAAATGATTAATCTTCTTTTCGCTAGGATCCTTTCCAGGATATTCAATATATGTTACCGAATTGATAATCTGTTTCAGATTCGGGTCCATATCGTCGTTTACGTCAGAAATATCCTCCAGGAGTATTGGAATGATCTTGTGTTTCCGTTTTAGCATTTCCTGCTGGGCAATCTGATATTCAAATCTTGTGAACTCGCTGGTAACGAACCGTGGCGTGAGAACCAGGATGGTTCGTCTGCTGTTGTCAATAGCACGAATAATATTGTTAGCAATCGCTGAAAAAAAAAAATCGAATCAAATATAAGTTTGTTACAACATGATATGGTCCTGAAAATTACATTTGTTTGTTGGCGCTAAGAATATGAATTTCTCCGGCATGAGATTCGGTGACCGACTTAAAGGAAATTTGGGCTGGTCTAAATGAGCTGAACTATGAATAAAAAGTGATAAACCATGTATATTGTACATATACTGGTGCATTTGATAGAAAACGTCCCCTCACTGGTCAATCTTTATCCGAGACAATACTAGATGTAATTGCTAAACTTATCTTTGTTCTGTTTGGAAAACGAATACAATATTGAAAAGTAAGAATTATAAACGTTCAGATTTATATGTGGTTTACAGTGAATTAAACTGAGTGATTTCAAATTCGGATTGTAGAAACGACTCCCAACTCAACAAGAAACAGTATTGCCACTTAACCCACGAAACTTCTCACCGTTAAATAAATTTAAACTTTCAAAGAAAGATTTTTACGTGCACATGGGCGTACTCACTTTCTCCCGGTAGGAAGTCCCTTAAATGTACACAGAGAGTGAAGCCGAGTTCTTTCTCAAGCTTAGGAAACAATGTGTGTAACACGAAGTCTTGGTCAACGTCTGCCGATTTGTACGACACAAATGCATCCCACATTTTCTCATCTGAAATAAATTAGGAACAATTAAAACATTTAAGACGGAAGCACGTCTGAAGATGTACTTGAGGTTTAATGTCTCCATAACAACTAGGATGCTATCAACCTTGAAGAATTTCAGTTTAGAGAACATCAACGGCCCCAAGTCAACAATGGAAGATTCTGTTTGTTATATAACATACATTCTTTTACGAGCATTCGTGAATAAGACATCAGATTCATATGAAATATAAATCGCCGAATATTTTATTTTTGATCGCATTCCTTGGAAACGCCGCAATGTAAGGTAACGGACCATTTTCAGATTTAACAAGAAACCTACCAAAACGTGAGATTGACGGGCATAGTAGATTGAAGACCACAAATCTGGAGAGATTGTGTTAGTAGAGGCCATTGTTACTATACTGGAATGTAAAGATGTTAGGATAAACTGATTGGAGATAGTTGGTTTACAACATTAAATTGCATTGACACATGTGCAAGTTTGTTGGAAAATGTTTTATCTTTCCATCGATGTATAATTTATAACCATCACCCTGTTATAAACTTTATAAAACATTGCCTGGATGTAGACCCTGATAGTGGTAAGAATTTGATGTTTTATATAGAAAAGAATTCTAACTATCGACCTGGACCAAGTCAAAAGTAAAACCACGGATAGACAGTCAGAACAATCTGGACTACATTAAGCTATGACGACCTAACTAAAACAACGGGAATCTTCAGCCAATCAAATCAAAGATTCGCCAGGTGTTATTACACGTGTTGTCGTAACACAATTTATACAAAGGTGTCAATGATAACACGAGAGATATACGTTATCTATATAACTTTTCTCGGTGAAGAATTTTCCAAACGAATCACCAACAAGTCCTAGAGGAAGACACTTGTATGATGCAGTTCAATTAATATTTTAGCTATGTAATCTGATTCTTAAATCTTAATTTTTAAAAGTTGTTTAATCGGGACTCTTTTGTAAAATCATTCTTAAACAGTATTTTATTGATGATATAGTAATGTATATATAGACACAAACCGTCGTCCTCATACGCCTGAAAGTAATGGACAATCTTCATCACTATGGTTACTCTGTTCCGCCACATCCAGAAAAACAGCAGAGCAGCTGTCGTGAGCAGAACCACAAGTACAATGGCGCTGACCCAAAGGGGCCACAAAACTACCTCGGTACTAGCTGGAGCTGAAATTGGATGACATTATCAATGAGTTACATAAAATGCTATACATCATTGGTATGTATTCTCGACGTTTCTGAAAGAGAATGATACCTGCTTTACGAGTACCAACGGCTGAAGTGTATTTCATTTTTCATTTTTTCTCCCTTTTTCAAGTAGAAAGATAAACACTGAATACTTACACATCGTTAGATAACGTTTTATTATAACGACTGATAAGAACACATTATTCAATGATATTCAGATCATATTCCTACAAAATCAAACAATCCCTCTGTAGTACCACAAGTATACACCGAAGTCTAAACAACAGGAACTGTAGTACCACAAACATACACCGAAGTCTAAACAACAGGAACTGTAGTACCACAAACATACACCGAAGTCTAAACAACAGGAACTGTAGTACCACAAACATACACCGAAGTCTAAACAACAGGAACTGTAGTACCACAAACATACACCGAAGTCTAAACAACAGGAACTGTAGTACCACAAACATACACCGAAGTCTAAACAACAGGAACTGTAGTACCACAAACATACACCGAAGTCTAAACAACAGGAACTGTAGTACCACAAACATACACCGAAGTCTAAACAACAGGAACTGTAGTACCACAAACATACACCGAAGTCTAAACAACAGGAACTGTAGTACCACAAACATACACCGAAGTCTAAACAACAGGAACTGTAGTACCACAAACATACACCGAAGTCTAAACAACAGGAACTGTAGTACCACAAACATACACCGAAGTCTAAACAACAGGAACTGATACCAAATACTGTTAACATTCTTATTTTCTTATGGTTCAATTTTTTGCGGCTAAAAAAGGCTAAAAACACCAAGGATTTTTTCAGCTGTCATGATGAGAGAACTACCCATTTCCATGTCGGTTTTTATTTTCATAGTGTCTATTTTTGTCGATTTCAGTAGTACTCCACGCTCCAAAAATGAGACCTACATATGTAAATTAATCACGAAAAACAGAACCTCTTGAAAATGAGAGTCTGTACAGTAATTGTATTCATAGTCTTAACAGCATGTCTCGAACCTACTTTTGAAACCCTATTTTACTGGTTGGATCGTAACGCACATAATGTACATACAATTCTTACATGTAAGGGCGTAACATGACTGTATTTTTATACTAGTTTAAAAAGGCTTACTCTCAAGTAAAGCTTATTTTTGAGGTCCTTTTTCTAGAGGTGTTATGTAATTACATACCTATTGTGGAGACAACCTTTTTCAACTCGCATAAATCTCCTTCGCGATCGAACCGGCATTGACAATATTCGGTGCCGTTCTCAAAGGATTTGCACTGGCCATACTCCGAACATGGCTTACAACAGAGTTCCTGGCAAAGTCCGCCTCCTCCACCGTCATCACAGACGCATTCTAAAATTGTTCCAATATTTCCATCACTCATTTTGCACGCGCCATATTCACAGACAAAATTAGGTACACATTGTCTTTCTGACAAAGGACGTTTTGTGTAATTTGCCGAGCAGGCATGTATAGCCGTGGAGTTATCAGTGACAGGTGTAGGACGTTGTGTATTTGGCGTAGTAGATAGTTTAGTTGCAGTTTCTCTTGTTTGACATCTAAATGTATCACCTTCCTCAATACATTCTGCATTGGAAGGACAAGAGCAGATATACTCATGACAAAATATCCCCTTCCATCCAGGGTCACACAAACAATTAAAACCCGATCCTTCTCTGTCACAATAGCCGTGCACACATTCAAATCCAGGAAAACATTGCCGTTCCGACCACGGTCTCAGGGTCGTAGTTGATCTGTGACTGGGCGTTGTCAGAGTTGGAGAAGTAGTAGACAACGGTCTCAGTGTCGTGGTGCTGACTGAATTTGTAAGAAATTCACACCTTTGTCCTGTGAATGATGCCATACAATGACAGCCATGTTGACAGGTGATGTTGTCATGGTAACATGTTCCAGAATTTAAACAAATGTCAGAAACATCCATACAGGGATTTGTACCACAGCTGGTACCTTCTGCAGCCATGTATACCAGTAATATGGCAAGGAATTCAACGAATGTAGCTTGATTCAACATGTTTTTTTACCGAGTAACTCACAATTTCCACTAATGCTATGCCACTGTTCTAGATTGACAAGTGATTAATCAATATCAAACAATTAGGAAATCATTAAAAAATAGATTGTCAATTCAAATTAGTTATGAGTCTTCCTTCAAAAGGAACGGTGTCATATCCTCGATATCACGAACAGTATTTATAAAAACACCAAGAAATGCACGTGTTTAAGGTATACAGCCCTGGTCATGCCTCATTGGCTTTTCGGTTTAAGTGGTCATTTAAGACGTCCAATCAAACCATCTGGTCACCAATCGATGAGTCAGTTCGAGCGTGACAAAGTAAGTATTCACTTGTAACACAAATGTTTTGTTCCCGTCTTGTTTAAATCATGAATATTTTTGCATTATCATATCCACATCCTCAGGAAGGAAGCTGTAGCGTCCCTCCAAATATCATCAACCCTAGTCAACCGCATAACTACACTGGGACATGTAGATGAACGTCTATATACGATGTCCGTGATCAAATACAGCGTGTCTCAGGTGTTGTTAGATAAACACACATGTGCATTAGAGTGTAACGGATTTTAAATAAGGGATTGGTTTCTATGTAGAGCATGTGTGATGGGTGTGGGTGTTACTAGGTAGATTCTGAATAACAAAAATCACATAAACCATACTGTTGATATACCAAGCTACGAGAAATCTTGATAATGAATTATGCCTTGTAATGATAAAATATTACACATACACATTCGTACAGAAGCATGATTTGTATCATAGCTCCTTGGGATAAACAATAGCGTCAACACATGAAAACAAATGTTGCCCGAATTCTCAATAAACTGAAGATTATATTGATGATGGCTTGTCTTTAAATAGCAAGGAATTTATTAACCATGACAATCGTTTATACAAATTGTAATTACCCAAATAGGAAAACAGGGTCAGAACATGAACAGTAACTGCTTAGTTAGATCTCTAAATGGGACAGGTACAACATTCCCTTCTAACAGGTAGTAACTACACTATTCACCAAACTATGACATTAAAGGTTTGTAACCGACATTACTATAACAACAAGAAAATACTAATGTGTGAACACAATCACCTGGACACTTACACGTAGAATAACACAAGGTGTTCCGGAAGAGTAAGCGTCTTCTGCTTTCTGATTAAATAGATGCTGGGAAGCATATCACATAAAAGTTTGCAGGGATTATATCCCAGAGGTTTGAGGTAAGCATAACACAGTGGTATGATGGAATAATATTACACAGTGGTTTGACGGAAGTACAGCATACAGAAGTTTGCGGGAAGCCTTTCACGCTATGGATTGAGGAAATCATATCACACAGAGGTAGAAATGTATTTTAGGGCTCATTGATATCTTTTACCGAAATAAATGTATATTTACATTAGATGATAATTGTCTGCTGGGCCTGGCTAGTGGTGTTTTTGTGTAAAATGAGCAAAATAAAGCAAATAATTAACCATGCTATCTTGTAATCCTACAAACAGTTCTGTAATTGTGTACCCCTCAAACTTTACATTGTGCGTCTTTTTATCTTCAGATGTAACTAATCTACCTGTACCTGTACTAAAACCACATGAATTGTTTGCCAGTGGAAATTAACATAGTCAAAAACTGCTGAGAAACTTCTATAATGGAATATTGTTCTTAACTGAATTCTTAAATGTTTGTATGTACAGCAGACCTGTATCAGCATTGTGGTAAATAGGTCATCCAAATTCATTTAAAATAGACGCTAATGCATCTTGTCAATCTTTCATGCTTTGTTGCACCCGGAAGTAAATTTAATTAAATTAAACTGAAAAGCTCACAGGTTTAGATCTAAAAAATGCATTTTATTGCTTAAAAGTTAAAAAGGTTCTACAAGCAAGCTATTTAAGTGGATGTTAGAAATGTTCCTTTGCTTCGTACGCTTACACAGCATTCCAACGTCGCAGCACCACCCGACAGAGGTAACTGTACCGCCCATTTAACTGCCTCGTGTTTCCTTTCAGTGAGAAATATAAAGTCTATTAACAATGTGTGTATTGGAGCATACTGACTACGTGAGAGGATTACGTATGGCTAGACACGATTTGGTGTATATAGACTTCCTGGTACGTGTACAAAAATTATCGGACTTTTTTTATGATGATGCACTTAATACCTGGTCTTAACTGTTTTTGTTCCGGTGTCATGACGTCGTTGTAATTGGAGAAAGGTGGCTGGTCTTTCCAGTTTTACCGGTATGTAGGAGGAAGTACAGTATTTTAAAGAAACCCACTTTAGCTTGCTTTAATATTCATTGCCCATTGTTTCTTTCGCTTGTTTAATTTCAACACATTTTAGATGAGAAAACAAGTCCATAAAGTTGTACATTTTGATATATATCTTTAATACCGGCATTCATCGACCTATATTAATTCTGTCTTTCAAAACTGATTTCCATTTTCCTTCGCTGTTTTATAGTCTCCTAGCCCAACCTGGTTTAAGAGCGTCAACAAAAGCATTCAAAGGTATCATCTTCAATCTACCATCACTACAGTTTTATAGACGAGTGATGACTGCTGACAATCCTCATACTTGTTACAGATCACAAAACAAATGTTTTATATCATTACAATGTCATACAGATAAATCCAATATACAACTGTACTAGGAAATCTATATGAACTAAAATACCCAGGCTTAGGTGATGCCAACACTGAAATTTCACATTGAATTCGTAGTGATAACCAGTGCATATCAACCTACTAAAATTGTGTCAAGTTGTAGACGGAACATCTGTCATGTCCTCCACTACTGACTGACTCGCAAAACACAGTAAGATAGAGGAAGAGAGATGGAGGAGAAGAATAAGGTGTTGTTGTTGCTGTGTTAATGTCCAATAAACATATTACACTGGTGGAAAGGTGTCAGAACTGAAGCCCTAGGGTTAGCCAGCTGTCACACAGGTGCATTAAAACGTGTGTTGGATTAAATTATAGATACACTTGTATTCAGAAATGAAATTCATTGTCTAAAACCGATTGATGTACAATGGTTGTTCAGATGCATTTGTTACAAAATTAAGTTTCACTATGGTAACATTGGACCGAGTCTAGAACGTCAATATAGAACATGGAACTACATTGAATAAGACATGAATAATATCAATGTATACATCTATGTGCGTACCATTAAATTGCCATCCGTATATCGATAATTCTAACAAGGTCTAGTCTGATAAAAATCCTAACGAAAATTCAGAAACGTTTACTCAAGCTTAGAAACCATAGTATAATTTACCCTTCCCCATGAGATTGTGACCATGGCGTCATGAAATTAACAAGTTCGATAAACTACCTTAACACACTTTCATAATTGAACACAACTAATTTTTTATATTATCTGAAAGAAAAAAATAAACTATTTTGATGATTTCTTGCGGAAATATTGAAGTCATTAAATCAATTATTTTACTTCTGAATTTTTGCTTATATCTCATTTTTTTTCATCTTGGTAAGATGAAAATAAAACTTGTAAACTCGTTTAAGATTCTATTTTTCAATCACTACAACACTATGTAACGATGTTACAAATGCCGCTTTGTTATATCAGTTACAGTATGCAATTCTTGCCGACGTAAAATTTATTCCTCCATGAGAGTTTCTTTATATTGGAGACAATATTATTTGTCCGAGCTGGAAAGTGTTCTACAATGGACCAATCATATCGGTGACCGAATCACTCCCCAAACTAATAGTGGTAATATGCCACAGTTATTAATGCGGTTCAAATTTATACTGATCTCGATTTCTATATTTAGATTTTCTATATGACAGAAATCCACCTCCCAATTTGATATTGTTAAATTAGGTTGATATTATTTTCTCTTTATTATCAATATGTCAAAAGGCTTTCTTGGCCCCCAAATCTGCTGTCAAGTGAAACGAAGAATAATAATGACCAATAGGTGCCGTAGCCGTAGATTTGCACGTGCTGTTTGTTAAGTGAATTTTCTGTGCCCGCCATTAATATCTATGTGATTGTGAACGAACATTTTGTTAAGAACTGTATGTTTACAGTTACTGATATTTTTGTAGAAAATGTTCAGAATTTTGTGTAGAAATATGCTGTCAATTATATTGTCGTAATTCTGTTGTTTCTTTAATGAAACACATGCCAGGAAAGTTTCTTTGAACACAAGTCCCATTGTTACCTACGTCCCTGTGTCCTGGATGTGACTCAACAGATCTTAATAACAGATATGTGATCGGTTGTTTACTCCCTGTTAAAGATGTCCTAATATTGCAATATTGACATGTTACAGACAGAAACACTTCATTTATCATAATGTAGTGATACAGAACCGTTAACGAATACATCCAGTCGGGTGTGCCTTTGAAATATTTCAGCAGTCATTCTTAAAATACTACCAATGGTTTTTTTTTTTATTTCTTTGACTGGTTTTTCCATCATATCTATATGTAGCAAGGTCGGGAGTATGAGTTTCTCCATTCGAACAACTAGACGATGTCACTCCATATTTTCATCCTCTAAGTTGAAGCATAGATCTAGAATTCCTTGAAATAATACAAATGGCATAATACAATACAAGGTAAAACACGTCATAGAACACACCCAAATAAAACTCACACTAACACACAACACACAGTGACATTCACGTTACTGACAATACATATTTACTTTGTTGTACAGATACAAAAATGAATATTAATTTCACTATGTAGTCTATTACAAGTATGCTACACATTACTCATATTAACATTTGACATAAATGACCTAGACCAAGACCTAAACAGAAATAGGGGATTAAATAATGCAATAAATATTGTTCTCATCCATACAGATCAGGTGTAAATATAGAATAAATCTAAAATAATCGAAGTGATTCTTCGAAATAGATGAATAAATGATATTTATCAATAATAGACATACACAATTTGCAATATAAATCAGAGACTTAGCCCGTTATCACACGACGGACATGAAAGCAATGAGACAGCAAAACACGTCTTTACAGCCCAAAATCAGTAGGAAAGGAAAGAAAGATTAGGTGGGAAAAGAAAGAAAGAATTGAACAGCACAGGTCACAGGTCAAGTGAT